GCACAAGTGTGTGATCTTAATAGCTACAAAGGTGAATTCTCCTCTGAGTCTACATCTAGTGGGCACCAGCATCAATATAAGCATTACTCAGATGTCCTTTGACTTACATTAACCAAACCCATTGCTGTTGAGTCGATTCCGACTCATAGCAACCCTACAGGACAGGTAGAACTGCCACATATGGTTTCCAAGGAGTGCCTGGTGGATTTGAACTGCCAGCCTTTTGGTGAGCAGCTGTAGCTCTTAACTACTACGCCACCAGGGTCTTATATTACTTCCTCATATTTTTTCTAAATGGATCCCGTATTTGTTTAAAAAAAGTCAGGTATGTGCATTGTAAGTCATGCATAGAAGGAACAGTGAAGATTTCAGTTCCCTTCATTTTGCTTAGAGTGCCATTTCCAAAAGCTTGTGGTTTGACACAGAGCCTATGATTAAGTGAGTGTAACAAAACCAGAGCCTCAAAAGGTTTGATTGCCACATTTGTTGAAACTGTCCTCTGGGGCAGGTAAGATCAGGATTTGGGGGCCTCCGCTGCAAAAGGTGTTATAGATATGAAAAGCTAAGTTTTCTCTCTCTTTTTTTTTTCTTTCCTGTTTTAATCTATTTCAGGAGCCCTGGTGGCACAGTGGTTAAGAGCTCGGCTGCTAACTAAAAGGTCGGCAGTTAGAATCCACCAGCTGCTCCTTGGAAACCCTATGGGGCAGTTCTACTCCGTCCTACAGGGTCACTGAGTCTGAATCGACTCCACAGCAATGGGTTTGGTTTTTCTGGTTTTTTAGTTACAGCTTATTGACATCAGTGAGCTCATGAGAAGTAAAGTGCAAATGTTCTCAAGCCTCATTAATTGATTCCTTACCATTTTTAAATTTGAGTCAGCGTCTTCATTGCAGGGTGTAGGTTTACCTCTGATCAATCTATGACAAGAGTTTACAAAGGAAATGAATTGTGCAGTCAGGCTGCAGGGGGAATGCTTAGCCCCCTCTGGAGAAAAAGCCATCTTCAAATACTAGCAGCTTCAGCATGCATGCAAACAGTTAATCTGCTTGTTAAAAAAAAAATCACTTTTCTGTACATTTGAACAGGTCCTGCAAGGACTATTACCATGCAGTCTTTGATAGTATTTTCTTCGAGTTTCATTTTACAGAAATATTCAAATGGTCTCTTTTAAAAATATGTATTTTTTCAACAACAACAACATTTTTTCAGCTGAGCATCAACTATAATAAAACACTATACTACATGCCTTGGAGGATAGAAATAGTAACCAGACTAGAATTTAGTTGTCAAAGAGATGACAATCTGATAAGAAAAAGATGTGAGAACATAAATAACTATAATAGAAGGTAGAAAAGGATCCATTACAAGAGCTCTAAGTAAAGGAAGAAGTTTTCTTCCTGGAAGGATCAGGGGTGCTTTGTAGAAAAAGTGACACTTGAGTGCTCTGTGGCCTGGACTTCTTCCTATTTCAGATTGATTGTGTTTCCTTTCATCAGTTCTTACTGCAGCTTGAAAAGAATTTTTTTTGCTAGTTAAATACTTGGGAAAAGGACTTCAGATGCAGATACCCCATAGTTTCTTTCCATCTGCCTTAATTAGCTTGATTTACAAAACTTAGAGGAGCTGACATTTTTCAACGCTTGTGGATTACTGGAAGGATGGACTAGGTAGTGATGTATCAGTGAGCAATATGGCTTTTTTTCTTATCAGCACTCAGTAAACCTACTCAGTTGGATCAAATAATCAGCCAAATTATGTATTTCAAGTCACATTGGTCAACTATTTGAACTATTTGATGTTTAATTTTTCAAGTTGTTTACTGACCAATAACCATAAATAGGATCCTATTTTAAATTGCATTGACTGTATTTGTCATCATGGAGTTTTCTTCTCTGTGTAATCTATGTGAATGAATATGGGATGATTAACAAGGATTAGAGTCCCTGGTGGTGCAAACAGCTAACACACTGGACTGCTAACCAAAAGGTTGGAGGTTTGAGTCCACCCAGAGAGGTGCCTCGAAAGACAGGCCTAACGATCTACTTCCAAAAGATCAGCCACTGAAAACCCTATGGAGCACAGTTCTACTCTGACACACTTGGGGTCACCATGAGTCAGAGTCAGCTTGACAGCAACTGGTTAGCAGTAGGTTTTGGCCACAGTGTTTTATGGTAGCTGAGAACCACTTCGCTTACCACTTCCTATTCCTCCCGCATACAGCTACCTGTGAGGAAGCGAGGAAAATAATGAACACCCAGAGGCTCCCATAGCTCCCCAGGCATGCAGAGTGATAATATTTAGAACATCCTTTGCCTTCAAGGTAGATTTCTGAGGAGGAATGCTAATTCAGTTGAGAATAAGCTCACAGAGAAGAGGGAATTTCAAATTATCCTCCAAAGCACAGGACCAGTCATTGACACTCAACCTCCATTTATACTTTTTAATCATGTTGGGGGCTTTAGTTTGATCCACTGATAGAGGTATCTGCTTCCTGTGTAGGAAAAGTAATCCACGTCAGCCATGTAAATGAAGGGGGCCGTGGTGTGCTGCAGAGTGACGCAATACATGAGCCACAGAGTCACTGCCACTGTACAGGCCCCTACGGGGGCGGGGTGGGGTAGGTATAAATCTCTGCATCTCCAGCTAAATGTTTGACTCCCAGTAGGTGCTCAGCTCACTAAGTGTGTGGAATAAATGAGTAAACAACTCTGAAACACTGTGTTCTGTGTTCTCAGAAGGTGCTAGAAATGGTCATTTCTGGCATTCAACGATTCAGCTCTTTAATAAACCACCTATTTCAATAGCCATCACCAAGATTACGTAAGTAGGGATTCTGGATCGTTACTTACTTCTTAGAAGATAAAGATACAGATTTCTCAAAGATGTGTCACACAAATTATGCTTTCCTTGTGTTAGTCAGGGCCCTTTATCTGACCTGTAAACAAAGACCAAGCTGAGGTTTAGAAATTAAACCTTAGTTAACTGGAATTTTTACTAACATCCTATATGTCCAACACAATACAAATTAATTTTTTTTTCAATATATTCTGAAATTAAGCTCAGCAGGCACCGCAGTTGGAGGTGGAAGAAATGGTGGAAGGCTGTGGTTTTCCCTCCTCGGTGGGTTGATGTGCACTGCTTCCAGGGCACCAGCAGGCCGCCTCATCAGAGCCACAAACAGCATTGTAATATTGGTACCCAATTGGGCTGCATATTTGTGCGGTTTAGTAAATTCTTGTCTCTGCTTTTATACACAGTGATCTAAAAAAGAAATATTATTCTCAAGAGTGCCTTTGGGATTGTTTGTTTAAATTAAGTTTCATTTGGATTTAATCTTAACCAAATCTTTAGAGAGCCAGGCGGATCACGATAATGAAGCACTCTGTGTTTGAACCAATGAAAGGGGCTGCCAAACTGTGAGGAGTCCTCTGTAAATGAGTGGGCTTCGTAATGTTACACTCGGGTGGCATGGGCCGATGCTAGATGATTAGTTTATGGTCTAGATCATTGTACTTTTATTACACTCATAAAACCTGTGTTTCTCCTCATTTTCATAATGGCTTCAATGAGCTTCTATACCTTCTAAAGGCACATTAAATTCTTATGTGATGAAAGTACCGATTTAGTGGAGCTGGTTTTAAAGCTTAAAGTAAGATACATGTTTTGAATTCTCATCTTATTGTTGGATTTGTTCTAAGGAAATGGAAAGTGCATGCGTTTGAGCATAATTCATATTTATTTGTGGGCTTTTTGTAAATACTGCAGTAGGTTTCATTAAATTCCAGTATAACCAATACACAATGCCTTAAGGATATTGCCTATTTCTATCACATGGGAATATAAATCAATATTAAAAGAGGAAAATATTGTGTACATGTCTGATTTTTTAAGTGTAATTTAAAGGGGGAATTTAATAACATGAACTATGAAGAGAAGGCATTTTATATTTGAGATATGTGGATTTTTAAATAAGGATCTTAATTGGATTGTTATATCTGTATTTGAAATAAATAGAAGCTCTCTTGGATACTAAGTTTATATCTAAAGGTAGTTGCTCATAAAAATATTTGTGAAGTTAATGTAACTCATTGCAGGACAAGTAGAATACTCTCCACTGTATAATTGAATTTGCTAATAAAAGTCTACAAATTTCATATCATTGTACCCCCAGAGAATTAATGGTTTTAGTAATTGTGCTGTAAGTATTAATATACAGGTTTACAGCCACCGAGTTTTGACTTGTGTTTGAAAAGAAGTTTAGGTTGGAGCGCTTTTGTGTCCTTTATCACTTCTGTATGTTTATATGTACATCACTGTTTACTGTGCCTCTGAGTTACTTTTCAGCGTGGCTATTCTGCATTATTAAAGCAGTGTTGAGTTTGTTTTAATCTGAATAATAGTGTCTAGATTCTGGCATAACTGAATGAAATTCCACTGGTAAATGTTGTACGTGACGTACTTCTAAAAGAAGACTTTCAGAGCCTGCTTCTGATAGGATAGCAGTTTGACAAAGCAAAACGTTTCTCTAGTCCTACAAAATAATGACAGCCACCGAAAACTGAGCACATGAGGGTTTTCAGTGTGCTTCAGTTCACGTTGGGAAGGGAGCAAGCATTTTCATGACCACTTCAGCCTGCCTGCTGCTGAGGACACATCAGATACCACCTTGTATGGTTTGTGTTGCGTTATAGAAAGTTTCCTTTACAGATCAAAAGTTGGGAAGCCGAACAGCTGAGCATAGAACTGAGGAGCTTTTAAAAGGCATGGAATGAATTCACTGGATTTTTTTTTTTTTAATATTTCATGGAAGCATGCAAAGCGTGGGTCCAGTTTATTCAGATATTTGATGGCAGCTGCAGAGTAAAAGTGTCTAATGAAAATGAAATAAATTTCCTGTGAATGGAATAAATTTTGATTGTGTCTCTGAGTGCAGTAATTATACATGTCACGCAGTGATTAGGCAGTCACACTGTGGCCATGGTGCCTTTCTTTGTCTGCAGATGGTCTGGGAGAGCGGCTGCGTGGTTATTGTCATGCTGACGCCCCTCACTGAGAATGGAGTCAAGCAGTGCTACCATTACTGGCCAGATGAAGGCTCCAACCTTTACCACATCTACGAGGTATGTAAGCAAAACACATCTGCCTGGAAAGGTGACAGCAAGGGTGCAACATTGCTTAATCTCATTCAACCCAAGGTGGAACCTATGTTCAACCAGTGTGAGAGGCGTTGGGATACTTGGTCCTCAGCAGCCGAGTCTGCAGTCGAATTCTGTGCAGATTTAAGTCACCACCACAACAAGAAGGAAGATAGCTGAAAGGAGACATGCCAGTCCTTGGAAAGAGGGTGGAGTAACAGGCCTTGTGCTAGGAAGGTTGCTGCTTTCAGTCCTCAGAGTAAGCAAGGACGAATTCATCCAAGAGCACCTCAGAAGAAAGGCCTGGCAGTCTACTTCCAAAAGTTCAGCCACTGAAAATCCTGTGGAGCACAGTCCTACTCTGACACACAGGAGGTCGCCATGAGTGGAGCCAACTTGATGTCAGCTGGTTATTGTCGTTTGTTTTGTTTTTAAGCAAGTTCACAAGGGTCACGTTGTAGACAGAAATCCAAACTCTGAAAACAGCTATGTGGTTGTAAATTGGACTCTGGGGTAAATTGTATGTTTTTCATTTTTAAATTTTTATAAATACAATGCCGACAGAAAGGATAAAAAAATATTTACCTCCACAGCGTGGTCCATTAAATCAGGCCCCATATAACAAGCCTTTAAATAGGGTCTATTTTTAAAAAGAACCCTGCTATTATTCTAATTGCTTATTGATTTCTTTGGCTGAGCAGTGTGGTCTTTCCACGGCTCTGTTTAGAGTCTTGTGTACGTAGCATTTGACCTTTTTATTTGAAGATAACCTGCTGACAAGCTTATTTCCCTTCTGGATTTTCTACCCACATTAAGAATGAACTAAGTAAACCTGGATATTTAAACAAGCACAAGAATGCATCCGTTGGTTCTGTTTTGCATTAAAATTAGTCAACGCTGAAGCCCACAGTAGAAAGCATGTTAGAAGCTTAAAGATTAATCCTAAATCACATAGTTGTGACTTTTAGGTCACTGCAAATAGACTTAAATGTGAGAAGTGATTTGGTGGAGGCCCATATTAGTGTCTTTCTATGCATCTTTTGTTTTTCTTAGTTCTAAACCCAGGCGTAAGCTACTTTAGATAAAATTTAAGTTAAAGAGGGACTAAAGTTACGTGTTCAGCAGAACACGTAGATTTACTGGTGTTTTTGTTCAAAAGCCTATTAAGCCCCTAGGTGACATTAGAAACAGCAGCAGCAACAAGGAAGTCATCTTTGATGTGAACCACATTAAATCTGAGCGGGTGCGCGGGAGCCATTGAGCCAGCCGCTAGCCACCTGCATATAGAGCGCGCCGTCGTTGCAGTGTGCAGCCTCTCTCTCAAAAGTAGCCTCCTGTTCCGCTAGCCACGCTTTAGTTCGTGACGCCCATGCTTCTCCTGTTTGCTTTTTTCTCCTCTTACATTCTTCCAGGTAAATCTGGTCTCGGAGCATATATGGTGCGAGGATTTCCTCGTAAGAAGCTTTTATCTGAAGAATCTCCAAACCAGTGAGACCCGAACGGTGACGCAGTTCCATTTTCTTAGCTGGTATGACCAGGGCGTTCCTTCTTCCGCGAGGTCACTTCTGGATTTCCGCAGGTATCACAATGCGCCTAATAGCAGATTAACATGTTTATCGCATGGGCAGCAGATCAAAGGACGCGTATTTGAATACCAGATTTCCTTGTTTCTAAGATGCCTGTCATTGGAAGATGTTCCGTCTATTTATCTATTTTATAATTGCTTCAAGAAGAAAGGAAAAGAGAGGAGAGGAAAGAAGGATTACACTAAACGTGCATGTCAATTACGAGATGTTACCTAGTTTCCGAGGTGTTAAGATGTGAAGGGGAAACGGGCATCTTAGAGCTGTAGAAATATAGTAATTACCTTCGATAAGGTTCATCAACTGACGAACAGGCCTAAAGTTTATTTTTCACGGGATGTTACTGAGTAAAGCCCAGATATTTAACCTAAGTACTCATCTGGTTGGATATGATGATGAGATTTAACAAGTTTAGGTCCAGATCCTAAAATGGTTATTTCTGGTTGAAAGCCTGAGTGTAGTTAGCACATGACATGTATATATTTTTAGTGCAATTTTGAAACTAACAGTTTTTTTTTTAATTCAATCTTTTGTTCATTACTCAAGTCCTCTAGTCACCCAGTGAGTTGTCCTATTGTAACATGTATTTGTTGAACTGTTGAAATGAATACTAGACTCTCTCTTACAGGGAGATGTTGACAATGCAAAAAAAAAGCAAAGTTTAAGACTGAAGCTTTGATTGCACATCAGATTTAGTGATAACAGTTGGTTAGCACTGGCTACTTTGTGGTGGTGACTGAATAAACAACTACAAAGAAAGTGGAGTTTTTGAGCGGCATTAATAACCAAGTTCTAAGTTGTATGGGAATTCTCTTAGATTTAATTGATTGGAAATCTTCCCACTAAGGAAAACAGATAAATGTTCAAAACAAGGAATATTGAGAATAGGACAGAGTGCACTTATTAAGCCAGCATTACACACTATTATAAAGCAATTTGTAGCAAAACAGCTATTCATCCTTGATTCTAGAGTTATTTAATTCAGAGGAAGGTTGAAAAGGCAAGCATTGTCATAAAGATTGGGTTTTAGACTTATCTCTGGATTGCTTGAAATTATATGTTACAGAATCTTAAGGTTGTTATGACACTATTTCTTCTTCCTTTTAGTCTGCTTTGAAAAGCAAAAGAGAAATTTTTATTTGAATAGTTCTTTGGATCAAGTAGCATGTGAATGAGCTCAAGGAGAGACATGAATTTGGTGTCACATACGTAAAGCACATTCAGTGACTGCTGCCCCACCCCATCACCTCTCCGAGAGATACAGTGTGCATTGCAGATTCAGAATACTGAATGCATAGTACAACAGTCACTATACACAGTTCCCTCCTAATCCATCTTAATTTCTGGACCATTATATATATTTTATCAATACAAATTTATTTCCAAAGACATGCTATTTAAAAACTTGCACAGGGTCCGTTTCCTGAAATGAAATCTTGAAAAAGTGGTCATTACTGGCAAAATGGTTGCAGATACAAAGACGACAATTCATCTTACTATCCCTGTCTTTATGTGCATTCAGTGCGTTCATATATATATATGCATATGGGTGTATTTATTATATCATATGCATATATGGAATCAAACATATACATAACCAACCCTCTGTGTTTATAATTCATCATGAAGAAAAAATGGATTCCCAAAATTCCCTTGCCCCAGAGTCTGCGGAGATATGGTCTGAGGAAGTTTCTGTTAAATTAAAACAGGCACCCAGACACAGTTTTGAAGGTCTCATGAGAGTCGAAAGCTTTTCTTGCCTTGCCTTATTTGGTATTATTACCCAGTATTTCTGATGAGGTTGCCTTTCCCATATGAACCGGACAATGGATATAAATGATCACAGTCTCAGAAGGTACTAAGCTTAGAGACAATTGCTGTTAGGTGATAGTCTGTATAAAATAGCCACCCAAATTTCAGTGATGGAGAAAGTGAGGCCACTTCTGAAGACACTGGTCCTTCTAACAGGACAGGATCTCTCATCTGACTTTGAACAATAGACCCAGCGTTCGAGCTCTGGCCTGGTGTGTTAGTCAGGCACTGAGATGTGTAATTAAATATTTCTGGAGCCCAGAGGGAGCACATTTACACTTTAAAGAGAAACTGCTAAGCTAAGAGATAATTAGCATCACATATGAGGGCTTTGCTTTAAAAAAGTTATGTATCTATCTCTATCTATTATTCTCTCACTTCTTGCTGTGTGCAATGGCATTTACTAACGCTGCTCACTGTACAAATGGACAAACCCTTACTTTGCCAGCTAATTAGCGGTGGCCAGTGTCATTTTTGTGATGTTGCAGCTAGTAATATGAGCCCAGTTGCATAGTCACAAAAGTGATCATTGGAAACTGTGACTCTGCTGCAGGGACAATGTGGGAAACCCCTTTTCTGAGCCTCTAACGACCTCTGACCTTTGCTTGCTGATGGTTTGCATGACGATTTCTTTTTCACTCGGTGACCCATGGGTTGGTTTGTATTACTAATCGTTCTTTCTCAGTTAATTCCTCCTGTTGAAATATATAGAATATTTTTTTCTTAATGTTTGAAAACTTTTGCTTACTGGCAATTTGCTCTAATAGAATAAAATAAGATAGTTGTGTTTTATCTTTGTAAGTAATCTGTAGTCTATATCTTAGCTCAGCTGGATGAAAACTTTTGTTGAATATGTGATGGTTTTTGCTTTTTTATTTGTGATGTTTCAAGTTGTAATTAATACAAGTACATGACGCTTTTGTAAATAAAACCCTAAAAATAGCACCACATGGTATTTACACCACATGTCTCCTTGATTGTGATTGTTTGTAAATAAGTTTAGCATGGGGTAGGGGCTGACGTGGATATTAAAATTACAGTGAAAACTCCCTAAACCCTGCTGAGGCAGCCAGTCACAACATGCTGCAGAAAAATAATATTTTAAATACACCATAAAATAAAGACTGGAATTATAGGAGTGGAGAAGCAAATTACAGCCACATTAGCTAGTAATTAGCTTTTTAGCAACATTTCTTAGCAAGGGAGGTTATTCTTACTACATTTTGTCAAAGAAGGAGCTGACCAGCTGTAAATGGGATATGACTGTTTTACTGATTCTTTACACTTAGTTTTCTGGAGCCAGTACATTTTAAATAAGAGTTTCTAGTTGTTATGTTTATTTCTTTTTTTTAATGTACCTTGTTTGTGCTTGGTCCATCAGAAAAAAATGAGCCACGGTGTGAACATGCAAAAGGTTAGCTTAGTTTCTACAAACACAGATGGGACCATCCTGTATGAAGTACAACAATGTTTGAAATACAGAACTGAAGTGGTCCCCTGATCACGTTAAAGGGTCAGCTAATGAGAAATCCTCAATAAATTCTTCTGTATGAGTGTGAAAGGCCTTTAAAAATAAAGCCACTCTAGATTTGGGTTGACAGTTGAGCTTGCTTGATTCTACACACACACACAGACTTGGAGTTTGGCATCTGTCTTATCAGAGGGTAAATTCGTGATCCCTTTACAAACTGAGAAAAGAATGGGAGATTTTAGAAGTAGAAATGAGTGGATCTATTTTCCAATCTGTTTTATTCTTGAAGGGCCAAGAACGTTTAAGGCATTCTGGCATGCAAGTCCTATTGATTTTAATAAGAGTTCATTTTTACTTTCTCCACTTTTCCCCAAAAACCTTAACATTGCAATGTACACCAAAAAAGAGAGAGAGAGAAAGCTCTAGCAGAAATAGAAATGTGACCGTCAGAGTACCAGTAACTTGCTCTCCCTGTGTTTCTGAGCTTTCTCCATTTTCAGGGCATGTTTATGTATTCTGCAAGCTCTGAAATGCTACATAATTTCACAGCTCAGAGAGCAGCCCTAGATTACAGTCACCAGGGAACAGGACCTTTAAAATGACCAATGCATAGGTGTTAGTGTATCTCATCTAGGCTGCCGCCATGCTCCTTCAAGTTACTTTACTTTATGCTATTCACATTGGGGCACCCTGGGTGATGCAAACTCTTAATGTGCTCGGCTGCTAACTGGAAGGTTGGAGGTTCAAGTCTATCCAAAGGTGCCTCAGAAGAAAGGCCTGGCAATCTACATCTGAAAAATCAGCCACTGAAAATCCTATGAGCACAGTTCTGCCCTGACACACATGGGGTCTCCATGAGTCAGAATAGAGGAATTAGAAAAACTTATATATGGGCTACATGACATCAAAATATCTGCTCTCTTCGTCTGTCAGTTACTATACTCAAGTTCTCCCTTTCCCACCTGCATCTCTTCTTGGCTTTTGGGGTTTTGTAGGTGAAGTGACCAGCTGATTGAATTTTCACTTTCAGCTGGCTGTTTTGCTGCTGAGTAGGCAAGCCTTTGCAAAGAAAGGTGACATTTCCCATTTCTGGTCCAAGGAAAAAAATTTTCTGTATTATCATTCCTTTTTTAAAAATTGTACTTCTTGACTTACATTGTAGAAATTCATACAGCACGTTTTAGAATACACTCCCTCGCACATTTTTTTTCCTTCTGGTAAACCAAGATCCTGTCTTTCATTTTGTTTATTTAAGAATATTTTACTGAGTATTTGGATGCACTTTGTAAATAGTTGTTTCACTGAATTAAAAAATATAGGGCTTTTACAATGAATTCAGTATCAGCCCTCTATTTTGAGTTAGGGCTTGGTTACAAAATCTTAAAATAAGCTTGTTGTTAATTTTCATACCTCTAATCTACAACCTACACAATGGAGTTGTTTTTAAATACACTTAAAAATGAAAAAGATTTATAAAATTTAAAAGACTTCTCTTGACTTAGTTGAGGTTTCTCTGTAATTTAGACATCCTTACAGAAAACTGACAGATTAAAAAATACTCTATAAAATGGATCTTTAAGATGCTATGTTTAGAGAATATAGTAATACTATATTCCAATACAATGTCTAGACTGTAAGAGATTTTGACATAAATTGCAAAACTCAAAAGTTTCAGTGGTGAATGTAGACATTCATATCACAGCAAAAAGTCAGATCAACTGAAGCCAAAAAAGAAGCAAAGAACGGAAGAGAGAGAGAGAGGGAAAGGCTGAGAGAGAGAGAGAGGAATGGGGTCGGGGATAAGGTGATGATCCACTGACCAAAGCCTTGAGTTCATACTTGTAAAAGGGGGAAAAACAACTTTGTGAAAGTGTAAGATTTGTTTTTAAAGCTTTGTTTAATAATTTAATGTTGAAAAGAAAAATCTTTGAAAATGTGCATGTAATTTGGATTTTCTTTGTCAAAAAGGCTACTGTGAAGTAATTTTAAAGATATGGACTATTGCTTTGGCTTACTAGTTATTTTGGATACCTTATAGAGTCATAGTACATAACTATAATTTTTATGTCTCTTTTTATTTCAGAAAAGTAAACAAGTGCTACAGGGGCCGTTCTTGTCCAATAATTGTTCATTGCAGGCAAGTACAACTTCTAACATGGCTTAAGAAGATGTTGCTACCTCAAAATATAAACTGTACAATTACATATAGAAGTTGAACTTTCTAATTGCTTCATAAATACATTTAAGTGGTGTTTCTAAAGGAAACCAAAGACAAACTTGGTTTTCCATGTATTTCATTATACATGGGTAAACAGTCAATGATGTATTTATTTTCTTTCTGGCAAACCACTGTGCTGGCTACTACTATAATCTGCTTCCGAATTTTCGTGCCCTACCACCTTATTTTTTTCTTAAAACCTCATGGTGCCACAACACAAGAAGTTCAAGACAATATTTTTGATATATTGCATTGTCTCAGAAAGTGGGAAAAGGCTGCATGGCATTCATGTACTTGGGGTCGGTTATGAACAAGCACAAGTTCTATAATTACAGTAGTGACCACTTCCTTGTTTATTATGTAAATCTAGGCCTTTGGATGAAAATTCAAAGGATCATATCCTCCAGTAGGTTAAAGTCACATCAGTAAGAATAGATCCACTCAAAGAAAACTTTAATCCAATGGTGCCCTTCTACTTGGCTTGATACTCACCTACTTTTGGTAAAGAACTTGTATTCAATTTTGCTGCCTGGGATCTAAAGGAAACCTGTCCCCAAAGATCAAACACCAAGTTGGTCAGTTCAATCAATAAACAGCATGTGTGTGCGTTTGTGTCTCTCTATCTGTCTATGAGAGAGGAGGATGAGACCAAAGTGTGTTTGGTATCCTCAAAACATAGAGTGGAACTTTTTTTACCTATAAATACAGGTAAAAGCTGCAATTAATTGGAAACTTTTTGTAGCCTGTCTTAAAATAGTCAAGTGAATATATGTTAGGCAGAGAAGAGAAGTGAGGAAAACACTCACAGACAGAAAAGTTAACTGCAGTCGTTCGTAATAACTGGTGTTAAGTGGTGGACAAATTTTGGTGCTTACTCTTCTTTACTAATGCAGTGAAGATGTACATACGTTATGAAAGTAAAATTTGTGAAATATTTATCTGTCCCAACTGCAGCTTTTTTCATCGTTTATTTCAGGAAACAAGTTAAAGCCAAACTCAGTGATTCTTTAAAAGATCAACTTATCGGCTTACCCATGATTTCTCAGAATTGCGGGCCAACATGTAAATCAGGAACTGAAAGCAAAATGATTTGTCATTTAGTCACAAAATTACTGAAGTCTTGAGGTGGAGATATTTATTTTTCCTTAAGGTCACAATTTATTTTGCTAGGAGTATAAATAAGAGAATGGTTCTTCATTTAAAAGCTGGTCGTGGATGTGGAAACAAGCCGTTTGACTTAAAGAGGGTCTCTCGGACTCATGTAACTCAATGACAGTCTACATGAGGAAGAGGGATGGTGAATACATTCCTTATGTAAAAAAAAAAGGATGATGCTGGTGCTACTTTTCTCCCAGAAAATCCATCTTGGGTTTTTTTTCCCCCCATTTGCTACTCTTGAGACACAATGCAAAACATTTTTTACAACTTTAGTCCAGATGGTAAATATTCCAATTATAGCTGGCGGGATGAGGAAGACATGAAACAAAAGTGCTTTTTTAGGAATATGATTAAGTAACAAATGATGTGTATATCTCTGCCTCAGAGGGAGTGACATGCCTTAGCGAGGGGAGGGCGTGTGCACGTGACTGTCGAAGGCGACCACCAGCCCACAAAGGCTGACCGGCCACGGAGCTTCCTTTTCTGCTTGCTGAATTAGCCAGTGATCATACAGAAAGTGGTTTGCAGATATTTTAAACACAAATGCCATCAACTCTGAAATAGTCAAAAATTTCTTTATTTCAGTTTTTTTTCTGGTAAAACTTACCACATCTTTGGCCAAAGAGGGGGGAAAAAAAAGAGAGAGAAAACAAATATAGCTGTGCACAATAGTCAATTCCTTAAGAGCTGCTAGGACCGATGAAAGCCTTCTTGTTTTTCTTCTCCCTTATGTCTTCCTTTCTTTCTCCTCACCACCTCCACCCCTGGGATCCTTCCCCACCTTGCTTTCTTCCTATTTCTCTCCAGTTCACAGCCTGCCTTTGGCTGCCGGCCCCAATCACACACAGATGAAGTGGATTGTTGCTAGCTGTTGTGTGCGTTTGGCTTACCTGTGGATTGCTTTTTCATTTTCTCTCCTTCTGTTGACAGTGACGGCGCAGGAAGAAGCGGCACCTACGTGCTGGTTGACATGGTTCTCAATAAGATGGCCAAAGGTGAGAGTCAGAAGCTGGGCTTGCTTTGTTGTGGCTGAGAGATGTGATGATGTTGCTATGGCAACGTAGGGTGTAATATTCACAGAAGGCCTTCAGAAAAAATTAGAGGATTGTTGTCCCTTTCCTGAATCATATTAAGGCTGTTTGCAGCAAGCACATTTCTGAGGTTCATCCTTTGTTATCAAGCTCTCTACACAGTGTCTCATGATGTGCTTAGCACACAGTAGGCGCTTGATAAATATTTGTTCAGTGGATTATGATGTGAATATCAATATTGTGAATAATGCAACCTTTGGATTTTTAAATGTCATGCTAGCTTAGAATATCCTTATTTTGTATAAATCGTCAGTGGTATTTAAAACCAGGGCCTCAAACTGGTGTGTTTGGTTTCCACCCCAGGTATACTGAATCAGAATCTACATTTTAAGAAGATCCCCAGGTGATTCTTACATATAATAAATTTTGAGAACCATTCCTCAATTAGTGGTTCTCAGAACTGGTCCTAACCAGCAGCATTAGCCTTGCCTGGGAAATTGTTAGAAATGCAGATTCTCAGCAGGGGTTCGAACCAGAACAAACCAGATCAAAGCCCTGTTTAAAACTGTATTTGCAGAGTACTACAGTGATTGAGAGCTAGGCTGCTAACCATAGTCCAGCTGTGGTTGGAAACCCTCTGGGGCAGTTCTGCTCTGTCCTGTAGGGTCGCTGTGAGTCAGAATCCACTCAATGACAATGGCTTTCCTTAGGTTTCATACTAGATTCTCACCACTGATCTGACAATTACTGGTAGTAATTCAGACATAAATCATCTTATCTCAGATAAACCTTATGAACAGGTTTTTTTTTGTTGTCCTTTTTGACATCCTGTTATCTAAGTGAATCTATTTGTACTCTTGGAGGAGTACGAGACTGAGGGTGTTTTGGTACCCTCAAAAAGCAGATTTTTTTTTTAACCTAGAAATATAGGTAAAAGCTACAGTTTCCTCTCGAAGACAGTGCACAGCATCTTAGACTCAAAGCACTATAGTATTAGAAGGAGTTCTAGCAACCACACAGTGCAGTAGCAACTTGTGGAGAACAGAGCTGTGATTTGATCCCAATTCTTCCACTGATGAATTTTATCACTTTTAGCAAAGCTTTTAACCTCTCCTGGCCCTAGCTTCCTCATGTGAAAATGCAGAAACGAGCTAATCTGGCATTTCTCAAAATATAGTCCACAGAACACCAAACCTGGAAAGTAATTGCTTTAAAAAAAGAGCCCAGAGAACTCCATAGTCGAATCAGTTTGGGGAAAAAAATCATAGTCAATCTGCCTCTTGTGGAATCTTGATGCATATTAGCATAATAAAGCCCTGCAGTAAAGAAACTTGTTTAGCTTCTTTAACCCAGCATTGTCTAAACTTAGTTGACAAGACAATTCATTTTTCTTGTAACATCTGTTAACATCCCACAGAACCAGGGTTCTGTGGGACAGACTTTGGCAAACACAGAAATGGGTGATATTATGGTTTCTTTCCCATCTGTGAATAAATCTTTCTGTCTCAACACACACACACACACATGCATATATGTAGTTAAATATACACCTGCACTTTCAAAAACATCCTGGGTGGTCATTCACTTTTCATTCTTTGCCCACCAATAGGAAATAGGAGAAGATAGTGAATATAGAAATTAGTTTCTATACATTTTCACACAAATTCCAAAATAGTCATTTTCTTTACTCTACTTTTTTCTGCTAAAAAATATACCACCTCTCTAGCCCAAGGATAAGATGGGTGAAGATAAAATAATAGCTCATAGTTTTGCACATCCGTACTGGAGAGCACAAGTAGATTATCTGGAGTCCCACAACTCCTAGTTCCTACAGGACTGGTACCCAAGTCTGACCTGGTGCCCTGTCTGCCAGCCCACACCTGCTGTCCCCAGGCTTCTCTCACAGCCATGAGATGGGAGAGGGCCTGCAAGAAGACTCTCTGCGGGTGGTTTTTTACCACCAAGTATTATTTGGGGCACTCTAAATTAGTTTAGTCCTGGAGATATAAGAAGAGACAAAGACAAAATGATAATGCTCTGATGGTACTTTTAATAAAGCTTTTGTTTTTTAGGAAATAACAGTGCTAACTTTTGTAATTAAAAGTACATTTTTCCTTGTCTATTAATGCTGTTGTATTTCATCAGATGTATCGTTTCATTTGCAAATTTTAAGTTCTTGAAGCGTGATGTTATCAATGAGATTTATGTTTTCTACCCTTATCATCCACCCTTCCTTCTCTATTGCTCACACACATAAATATTTTTCTTCTATTAAACCCCAGAACCTCCAGAAGAATACAGATTTTTTCACTTAAATGTTTCAGGACAGGTGTATGTTTTGTAAAACAACGTGGCACAATAGACTACTTGATACACACTTATTTCCAATGGAAACTCCATCTTGGAATGAAAGGAGTGAAGTAGGGAAACAGACGCTTACATTGTCTCCATATCTGGTTTATTTTGGTCTCCGTCAAGATGACGTGATACAACCTGCATTTCAAGTACGTGCAAGTTATCCACAGACAAGCAAATGCAGAGCATGCTCCGGCTTCGGGCTTTCGGCCACGTAAGGAAGGGTTGACGTTATTGTTTGAGCGCTGAGGAAAGCCATTTATCGCCTCCATTGTACCATGTAATGTCAAATTCCATTTCAAGTGTGGGCCTGGTGTTAAACAATACGAGGCCAGTCATGTGAAACTGGCCCAAGAAGGGAGTCACGGGGTTTTTCTTCAGATCGGTCACCCCCCATTTTGCTCTTGACCTGCTCCCCTCTGCCTATGTGGCATGCAGTGGGAAATCCCTTGACCTGCAGCCTGGGCCGGGGCTGCATGCGAGATCAAAGGGCAGCTCGGGCATCTCCGCCTGGCCGAGGTGGGCCTTTCCCAGGCCGCCACACTGTGAGGCAGCTAGGGGTTTTGTTCTGGCAGGAACCAAGGCCGGGCCTATGAGGCCTGGGCCGTCTTTGTCTGGCCTGAGAAGTTTGAGGCCCAGGTTGCCGATACAGTGTTCATCAAATGATCAAAGGCCCCAAGGCCTGGACATGAAACCTTTCTTCCCATTTCCTTTTCTGAAAAAGAATGAATTGCACGAGGACCAAAGAATGCCATTTCCAAAGCTTTTATGTGCAGTGCTAGCAGTATCGTTAGAGTCCTTCAGTTCTCAACGTAAGAACCTAAGTGCACTTTCAGACGGGCCCAGCTGCACCAGCAGAAGGCGTCCACCGCGTTTCTTTCAGAAAGGCTTTTAAGGATTAAGGCCTTCGCTCCTATTTTAAAGGCTTTTAGGAATAAACTTAGAATAATTTAAGTTCTTTCTCCACTGTCTGGTTTATTAGCAAGTAGACAATAATGCATTTTGAAATCAAAGTAAATAGGCATCTTGCAGTGGGAAAGTCGGTATCAGTCTTTAAAAATACTTCTGCCTGTTTGTTATTTCTGTTGCTGTGGCCGCATTTCTAAGGAGTAGTTAATATTTTGTGTCAGAATTCGTTTTTAGGCAGCATATCCCTCTCTCATGGAAGGGCCTGGCTCCAGTGTTTTTTTAGCCAAGATATTTCCCAAGGTTGTGTTTTTGTTTTTTATTCCTCAGTGGCATCTCTTTACCCAGCATTTCTTTCTGTTTTGTAACAGTTTTTTTAAAGGCATAGAGGGCTGTAGGTCAATGGTTTAACCTCCCAAAGATAACAGTGCTGGTCACCCTGAAGTGACTGCCAGCGGAATGGGTGTTCAGCTTCCCTTCTGTGGGGCAGTGGCAGAGACCCACCTGTGGAGAAACCGCTGGCACGCGCCAGAGGCTTCCCAGCAGGATCTGTGTTTGGGCAGGGGAGAGGAGATCTGGAAAGGTCTCCGGGCGCTGCCAGTGAAGTGCTGAGTAAACGCATTCCAGCCTCCGGGCTGCTGCCGCTGTCCAGAAAACCCTGGAGGTCAGGTTTTTAGGGAGGCCCTTTTCTTTTGTTTGGCAGGGGCCACAGGAACGGAGTTTCAGTCGGCCATGTGGCTCTCTGACTGTTGTTCATAGATGTGCTGCTCTTTGCCTTTTAAGCTTAGACTGACCTGGAGCAGTTTCCTAAGTAACCGATTTGTGTGAGTGTGAGCAGACAGTGAGATACTCACAAGACCAGCTGTCCAGCACCAAACCTCCATCCCAGCAGTCTGACCGGTGTTACTGTTTTCCTGTCTGCAATGTGTGCATGAACACGCATCTTGTGGGATAAGATCAGTAGAATAGATTTGGGTTGGTTTTTTTTCCCCTACTTAATTGCCTATTATGTGTTTGCTGCGTTTGAATTTTGTGATGCAGTTGCATAGAGAATCTTACCCCCAGAGGAACCGACTTTATAGTGCTGAGTGTTAAGGCCACTCCCACTGACCGTGGCTGTTGTCTTCCCAGCCCTGGTGCCCTCCAGTCATACCTTCTCCCTGCATCGTGCCCTTCCTGGGTCGCAGAGACACAGGAGCACCAAAATGAACACTCACTCCCATGTCACAGATGGTCGTGAGGATGAAATGAGAGGGTGTATGGAAAGGGCTCCCCCGACACCTAACCCAGATGGGTTGCTGAGGAAGTGGGTCCTTTCCCTCTGTGCCTACGTGTGTTCGCTTTCTTCATAGCTGAGCAACAAGCGCATGACTTTTATGGCCTGATGTTGCAACTCAGTCACATCATTTTGTGAATTATTCTGAGTTTTGGAAGCCCCTTGTTCTGATGGAGCATCTCTGAAGAGGTCTTGTAATGGAGAAGCTATGTGGGACCTTCCACTTCTTAGCCACATGACCTCAAATAAATTACATACCTTGTTGAACCTCCCAGATGAGGGTGACATAACCAGCCTGTCTGCCTGGGCTGGGGTGAGGCACAGATGAGATACAGTACGTGAAAGGCCGATGTAAAATAGAGCACTGTACAACATTTGATAGTATTATAATTAATCTGGTTTTAAGAGCCCAGGTTAGATGTCAACT